GCTGCCCCCGGGGCACCATGTGCAGCGGGAAGGCGGCGGCAGCGCCAGGCAGGCGCCGAGAGGGGCCGTCTCCCCTCCAGGCCCGCAACGGGGATTCTCTTCCTCTTTCGCCAGGCTGAAGGAGACCTTAATTTTGGCTCTCAGCTCATCAGCAACTGTCAGTTGACCTTGATGGGGTCGTTCTGGGTGATAAAACTTGCATTTGTTGCCGTAGGTGCATTTTTTTCCTGGAAGACCCAAAATCAAACAGGAGATTGTTCCTAGCACTAGAAGTTGATGCACACACCTACTGCTTCTGTCCCAAGCTGGGCATTTAACGCAGGCATGGGGAGCACAGACAGCACAGAGGGAAGTGCTGCTGTCCTCTCTCGTTCATTTGACCCCAGCTTTAAAAGCTGCTGACCTAAAAGGGGGGGTGAAGCAGCACGGAGAGGAGGTAAATGGCTCAGAGTTCTGCCCACAACCTGTTAGGTAAATGAGCATGAAGAATTGGCCACACTTAATTTATGTTCAGGTTGCTGCACGTGCTGGTGAGGTAGAAGACCTGTTGCTACAAAGGGCTGCTTTTAAAAAAATGGTGTAAAGATCTTCCTCTGGAAAAAACTTCAACTTTACCTACCATAGGGGCAGGGTTGCCATTTTGGTTCAGGAGGCACTGGCTTTTTGCTGAGGAAATTATTGAGAGTGGGTCCATGACGGCCTAGTGGGTCATCAGGAGGCATAAACCTGAAAAAAATGAAGAGCAGCATAACTAAAATACCTTGAACTTTTGAACCTCCACTCTTGTCACAACCTATTGCACAAGCTTAAGGCAGAAAATTCTTTCTGTTTTTAGACCTATTGCTGCCTCTTTATGAACCCAACCAGACTCCAACAAAAGTTCATGTGTCTGTTGTTCTTCTCTATACACTTAACATAATCGGAAAGGCATTGAGGCTTGAAATAGCCCTAGCCACTCAGCAAGCAGAAACATCGCAATTTCACTTCCCTTTTCTCTGAAACAGCGGAAAACATTACTCTAAACAAACACTTCATCTGTATTTACAGCACAGTGGTCCTCACTGGTCAACTCACTTCCACCACAAATATATTTACCAAATAATCTTATTAAATACTTTTAAAAGAAGGGTGCTGAAAGCCTCCCCACTTAATTCAGAAGTAGAGCTGCTCGCTCATGTGGTGCAATAAACAGTCTGAGTCTCAGTGCTTCAGTAGATCAGGAACATGCTCAGGTAAACTGTTCTTCTGTGGCAGGACCTCAATGTGATGCTTCAGGAAGAAAAATAATGACAGCCTTTTCTGCAAATTAACCTTGGCCACACCTATCTGCAACAGTTTCCTGTTAAATATTATCAGGGAGGGGAGGGGAGTGGGTTGGGGAGTCTGTTTATCATCTCCCTAATAGAACTGAAACCTCCACCTCCAGGCTGAGGTTTTTTTGGAGATTCCCAAAGCAGTGCGGGAAGGTCTCTGAAACTGCTCCAACACACTCTGCCAGAACAGCTCGACTTTCTGCCGCAAGGGCTCTGACAGTCTGGCAATCCCTATGAGATATAAAGCAAAATATCATATAAATATTTGCAACCAGTTAGTTACTAGGGAAGTTCTGCTCCCTACCTGTTGCTGACAAAAGAGTACATGAGCAGGCGCTGCTCAATGAACCACTTCCACTCGGGGTTTTCATTCTGGAGGTCGCGGTAGTGGTCGTTGGAGACGATGACTCCATCCTTCTCGTAGGCCACCTTGACTATGTAGCGGTCGTCGTAGCAGATGATCCGCTTGCCCTTCACCTTCCGCGAGGGCGTATACACGAGCACGGACTGCTTCTCCAGCTCCGCGAGAATGTGCTGATCTGGAGCAGGAACAGAGCGAGCACAGGAGAGAAAGAAAGAAAGGAAAGAAGGAAGGAAGGAAGGAAGGAAGGAGTCAGTCAGCAATGAGCAAGGCTTGGTCACGGGCTACAAACCTGCAGGGGTATAGAAATGTCGTGACACTTCAGGATGCTTTGCAGGGTGGTGGGATCTTCAGGTGCGTCAGGGGGAGGTTCAACAACTTAAATGCTTCCTTTTCAATTTTTAAATCCTGTTTCTCAAAGGATGGCTTACATTTTTTGCCAGAGGCATGCTAAAACCCAGTAATTCATTTTATACCCCACTAGATGCTAGAAGGCTCATAACGCTCCCTGCTATGAGTCTTGCTGCAAGACAGAATTTTCCTCATGATAGACAAAACAGTCCTCTGCCACTGAGGACTTCTTGTCGCCCTTGCCTACTATATTGGAAGCATCAGGGCTATAAAAAAAGGCAGATCCCAGGACTTCTCATCTGTAGCTGCAACCACGTCTCGGATCTGTCTCTACACAGTTTAAATCACCACCCTCTCCATACTTCAGCTGATTCTTTCTCAGAGAAGAGGAACCTACATAGCTCCCATACCAGGGTAACAGGCCAGCAGAAAGTAGCCCTGCAACGGTGCAGACTGAGGCCACGGCTGCTCCTGGAGCACACGTGGCATAACCTGCTCGGAAGTCAGGCCATGGTCTCCTGCAGTCTGAACCAACCTGGCTCTCCTGGAGCGCAGCTGGTAGCCAAGTGCTGCCACAAAGGCTCGCATGCATCTCTGGTTGCAAGCCAGGAGCATGCACGGGGCAATAAATTAATGACTAATTTAAGTGCAGCAAACCTTAGACACAACTTACAATGTGCTTGTTGCCTTTACAAGGCAAAACCACACAGGACTGTTCACAGCCCAGCTCCGAACCGCACCTCGTGTCTGCCAAATTACAAGTAGGCTGCCCATCTACCTGCGATGGGACTGTCCTGTCGAGGGGGTTCCTTCCTCCAGGAGGGAACGAAAACCTTGATGTACGTGTGTCCCCTCTGCCGGAACCAGTCCACGGCCAGGCGGATGCCCCAGCAGGAGAAGACCTCTTTGTTTCCATGGCTATAAGAAAGGGAAGCAGGGTGAGGCAAGGTTTCCAGGGCGCTTATGGAGTTCCTCTCGCTGAACCAGGATTGAAAAGGTTAAAATGAGCAGCTTTTGCATCACTTGCCAGTTTCCAAGAGAACAACACCCAGTCCCAAGCAGAGTGTCCTGGTTGGACAAATTCAAACACCACCTCTGAGCAAACCAGAAGCCACTTTATCCGAAGCCATTCGGATGCTTTCAGAACAGGGGTATCCATCCTGTCTCTGTGACTCACCTGCTCCCTGACCCTGGTTCAAGCTGTATCTAAATGAACATGGCTCTGAAAGCAGGAGCAAGATCTTCGTCTCTCAGACCCTTGCCACGACTTGCCTTGCCCAGTAATGGTGTGGGGAGGGAGAGTTTCTTCCAACATGAGCAGAACCCACAAGGCTCTGCTGTATGAAACAAAATATGGGGATTTTTCTCCTCTGGAACAGGGGCATATGCACCCACTTTTATGCTTGAGGGGGCAGCGAGTGTGATGGCCAGTCGCTGTACTACTGCTGTCCTCTCTGGGACACAGGAGTCAAACTGTGAAGGAATCAGAATTGGGAAAGGGGACGAGAAGGATGGGAGACATGCAGAATGCAGACAGAGGCACGAGAAAAGGGATGAGATCCCAGCGGAGACCCAGTCCCATTCCTCAGCTGGCAGAGCACTTTGCTGGCACCAAGGCCTAGGAAATCCCTGGGAGACCTGCCACAGCAGAAAGATCCCAGCAAATTACTGCGACTCCAAGCAGGGAGACAGAGAGCATTCCCTGCAAACCCCACGAGGGATGGTGGCCTTCCCGCGTGCCTCTGCCCGGGGCAGGGCTCTCGCTGCTGGTCACTCTCCCAGCTGAGGTTTGGCTGTTCATGTGTAAAGCGAGGCTATTTGTTGGCCACCTCTGCACAAGGAAGCAAACGCTCGGGTCCAGCGTCTCGTCATCATGAGGGAAAGAAAGTCTACACAAAGGTCCTGAAATAAGCAAACACCCTCACAATATCTACAGACACCTCAGCCTTGTACTTCGAGCTTTCTGGGTATCTCCACAATCATCTCAGTCATGCTTTCACCTTTGCAAAATACACATGTAATGGCTCTTTTGCTCAGTTACTACAGTATTCTCAGTGACAGAAGTCGTCACTCTTAAAGGCATCATTCTCGTTTAAATTCTGCTCTTCAGCCTCAAAATCAAAGCTCCATTCTACATCTAATAAAACCTATAGTGTTGCAACAGAGACCACAACAGAAAAACAGTGCAGTTTGGAGGATGAAAGCTGGCTATTTATTAATCGATACTCAGGTAATAGAAAGTTTAAAATATGCATATATAAACACACACTTATAATAAATTGTCTGAAATGCTTGACACATCTGCTTTCCATTGCAGAACCACTGCTTTGTTTGCTTTTAAAGGGTAGGTAAATCCTTCAAATTGACTTGCAGGTGATTTTTGAGGTTCAGGGGACTTCTTCAAATAACTGCCTGCAAAAGGAAATCTAGAAACAACTTTAATGCCAGGAAACAGAGCTGAGCAAGGCAGCACCTGCTCTAACAACGAGTATGTGTTTATACAACCTCCTCAATTTTAGCAGAGCAACCTTAGAAGTGCCTCCCCGTGGAAAGAGCAAGACGATCACACACAAGGCACTGGGTCACAGAGACGAGCACAACAAGCCAGAGAAGTCTCTGTTCCTCAGGGTTATCACTTGATCCAGCTGCTCACATCCTCAACCGCTGATCCACGACTACGGCCGGAGGTGCCAGGGAGGCCTCCTGCTTGTGCACCTGAAAAGCCCTGTGTGCACACAGCGCTGAGCACCCGTGGCACCTCGGCCTGTCCTGCCCTGCCTGGCCCTACAGCCCTGCGGCATCACGGCCTGTCTGCCTGGCCCTGCAGCCCCGCGGCATCACGGCCTGCCCGGCCCGGCCCTACAGCCCACGGCACCACGGCCTGTCCTGCCTGGCCCTGCAGCCCTGTGGCACCATGGCCTGTCCTGCCCAGCCCTAGCCCCGCGGCACCATGGCCTGCCCTGCCTGGCCCTACAGCCCTGCGGCACCATGGCCTGTCCTGTCCTGCCTGGCCCTGCAGCCCTGTGGCACCATGGCCTGTCCTGCCCGGCCCTACAGCCCTGTGGCATCACTGCCTGCCCTGCCCGGCCCTACAGCCCCGCAGTGCCCACACGGGAGCTCACATTTCATGGGGCTCACAGCCCCAGGGTCTCCACGGGCCTGGCAGAGCCGGGTCCCCTCCCTGCCGCCCACTGCTCCTGCTCTGCAGCTCCTGCAGTCACCAGGACCCTCGCAAAGCAAAAGCGGCAGCTGGGCCAGGCTGTGACGGCACCTACTGATCCGTCTGCACGTAGGCTCGTGTGAAGTCGTTTCTTTACACAATTCCAACCCTTTTAAAAAGAAAAAGGGTCAAAACACCATTTTTTGTTAAAAAAAGAATGACTGGCACAGTATAAGATAGGGCTTTGGCAGAAGCGGGGCAATTTAGCCCCTCACGCTGCACCAGAGTTTCCCAGTAGCCGTACCTGGCGATCTGCACATCTGTGTCAGCTACCAGGCAGCATGCTGGCCTCAAGGGTTTTGTTATCATTTTGCCAGGGAACAGCAATAATGGTTTATCAGGCACAAGCACAAGGGGACACCAGGGCTGGATTCTAACTCTGAAGCATTAGGCAGTCATGTCTGTCTGCAGTGGATTTTTTCCACCTTTCTACAAGGTTTTAGCCTAGAAGTGGCAGGGAATCAAGAATCAACCCTGATTTATTCCAATAGGAATATAGCCAAAGTAAAGGAACTTCTTAAGAGCCTATTGCAGGACTCACTTTAGAAAAAGCCTGTTTTAAGCTTGCATCTTAAGAATTAGGCACAGCAGCAGGCACTAGACCAGTTCGTGTGCAGGGAACAGGGTTAGGACAGTTTAGCTTTTATGGAGAGGCTGGCTGAGAATTGGTGCCCGCCAAGTGCTTCAATGAGTTTATGACCTGGGGCGGTGCAGATGCATTGCAAAGCCTTGCATCCTGCCATGAGCGCTCGGTGGCACCGCTGAAGTGTCCTGCAGGCACCAGAGCCAACGCAGAAATACAAAAGCTCAGCATGTTTCTTCTCCACAGCAGGAGGAGAGGTTGAAAAGGCAACCACCTTTTCAACATTTTAGAGCTTCATCCCTAACCTGCTGCTTCTCCTGCACATTTTTCATCCTTGTTGATGACTATTTTCACAGCTATAACATCCTTTCTTCCTGGCTCTGTGGCAAACAGCCCCTCTCCATGTGGCAGCACGGAACCAGAAATGTTAAAACGAGGATGCTCGTGGTATGCAGTTTGCCAGGCCCACCCCTCAGCCGAACACCAGTCAGTGCTTCAGAAAGGCATCCGGGACGGAGAAAGTCAGTGACCCGGCCCTGCACTCAGGGCTCTTGCGTGCCTGTTGCTCCTCTGTCTTCTCCATCCTTCCTGCCCCTGGACTGCCGGGCCCGAGAATCCCCTTATTTTTGCCTGGGATTTCTCTCTCCGCCCAGAAGATGGCAGGATGTGCTCAGCCTCCGAGGCCAGCTTGAGCCCCCTGAGCAGCGGGACGGGGTGACAGCTCTTACTGCCCCCAAGGACCAGGACGGCAGGGGAGGGAGCCCTCCAACCTCTTGCCCCTGCTGCAAAAGGCCCTGCATGGAGGGAAGGGAAGTCAAGAGGGAAAACGGGTGGTTCCTCAGTGCCCGCGGCCCCCTGGGCTGCCGGCGGGGAGCCAGACCACGTTGTATGGAAGGCAACCATTGGCTTCCTCATAACGCTGTAAAACGAATCTAACCCCAACAAAAACAGACAAGTCAGGGACCCTGTTGGGTTGGGCCTGCAAGTCACAGCAAGTCCAATCTGTTTCTTCTGTTTCTGTGAAGAAACACTGCCACCTGTCTTCCTCTCCTCTCCCTCTCAAGTCAGTTAAGCTGCTCAGGTTACCTCTTTATCAGTTTTTTCCCCAAACGCTTCATCATAGAGATTTAGAGATCCTAGCTGCCAGTTTGAAAAGGCACTGAAATGACAAACTCAATGATGAACTAGAAGGAAAACAGGGCTGCTGAATCATATTGCCATAAACAGCAGCAGTTAGCTCGCTGCCAACTAGAAAGCGGTCAAAATGCAGAGCAAGCCAGTGATTGCTTTCAGTAGGTGCAATTATGTGCAAAGAGACAGAGGGACCGATATAAGTTCTGTCTCAGCCAAAAAAAAAAGGAGTAGATGGTGGTTCATACATTATTCACCAACTATATCGATGCACTGCCCACCTAGAGAAAACAAACAAACAAAAACCCGCGTTCTTGGAGCTATCAGGGTTAAAAATTGAAAGCTCCTAAGGAGAGCTCCGTTTAGGAGCCAGTGCATACCTCATTGCAACGTTGCTGCCGTCGATCACGATGGGTCTCAGGTGACCAGAGGAGTCGTCTCCATCCTCGTGGAGCCACGGTGGCACATCCGGGGTGCTCCCTGATCCCCGGGCCACCAGCCTCAGCGGCGCAGGCTGCACCCGGCTCTCCGGAGCTTGGGGTTTGCTGCCCATCCGGATCAGCTCCTTCAGCACGTCATCCTCCAGAGCCTCTTGGCCCAGGCTCTGGAGCACTTTGCAGACATCCTGCTTCCCGTAGCCCAGCTTGCAGAAGAAGTCCAGCTTGCTCAGGGGCGCTCCCAGGTTTGCGGCGGGATTGCTCCTGGAGTGCGGTGGCACCGCCTGACCCTGGCCGGACAGGGAACTCGCCAGGGCCATCTCGGCAGGCATCGACGGGCTTTGGAACGCAACGCTCCTGTCCTGCCAGCCTCGCTTCACAGGACGGGAAGCAACAAAAAGCGTTAAGGAGGGAAGCGCAGCCTCAGTTGTTTGCCTGGTGCAAAGCACAGAGCCCAGCAGAGCAGTTGCCCTCCCTCACTGTGCAGGCATTTTGCTGGTCCGCTTGTATTTATGGGAGCCCCAGGCGGGGGGCGGGTTGCTGCCCGGCCTCATGTCACACGGGTGTCACACAGCTCGTGGCGCCCGGCCGCGCGTCTCCGCGCACCCGCGCTCACTCCGCTCAGGAAGCGACACAAGAGACGGGGCAACTGGGGATTTTCATTTTGCTCAGCGCGGTTAGCGAGTGACAGATAAGCATCTGTCCAATGCTGTGGGGCGAGCTCAGGCACCATAGCAACTTGACAAATACAGAACATTTCATTGAGTGATTTAAGCAGCCCTGTTGTTTGCAGGGCAGCTTGGAACTCTTCAAAGTTTTGTGTTGTTTTCTTAAAACTACATTTCCTAGTACATGCCTGTACGTTTATACCCAGGCACGCTTACGACATGCAGTCCGTCACCTGCTCTGATGACGCCTCCCTCACTGCTTTCCTGTTATTTTTGGTCTCAGCGAGGGGCTCTGTGCGCACACAGGGGCTCGCTCATCCCTCACATCCCCTGCAGCGGTTGGACACACTCAGCCGTGGCCTCTGGCTGCACCTGGGGTCACTGCCGAGAGCAGCGGGTGCAGCAGAAAGGAGGGTGCCGGGGCGGCAGCGCGGAGCCCTCGAGCAGCCCCGCACTGCCCAGGAGATGGGCACGGAGTGAGCGGAGGCAGCTCCCTGCGACGGGCTGGTTCCTGCTGCAGCTTGGCAGAGTGTTGGAAGTGAGCAGTGCTGTGACTGCAGGGTTTTCACATCCCTCAAGAAAGAGCAAGTTTGGAAGGCTGAGATTAACCTGCCTTTCTTACAGCTAACCCCATGGTCCCCCTTGTAACAGAAGAATTAAATGATAATAAAGTTACTCACGCTGTAGCAAGGGATCAATAGAGTGAGCAAGTCCAACAGGTTGTTGGTTGCTTATAACAAGCACATAAACATATGACGAGAGGAGAACATTTATCACAAAGTTCAGTGGAAATTGTAAACTCCCATTTATAAACCTGATGAGCTTCATTTTCAAACTACCTACGTTTCCTCCCCCGCTTCTGCACCCCCTCCACCAGATAAGCTATGCTTGGTTTTCCTCCTCTAATAATCAAAGGCTTCTCATTTCCAGACTAAGTCTATCCACAGCTGTGTTTCTGTGTGCTCTTGCTACAGCCTTGTGTCCCTTCTTGTGTGTGCAGACATGGCCAGGGAAGTGGTGGCTCCTGCCCCACTTTCTTTGCTGCGTGGCAGGACCTGGTGCTGGTCAAGGCAGAGCAGCGTTGGGTCTTCTCTCGGATCAGATGTGCATGTGGAGCAAGGCCAGGAGCTGCCTCTTCCTCCTCTGTCCCCCAAACCGCCTTTTCCTTTCCCACCTGCCTTGCTGCATTTGCTGAAATAATTCCCTGCTGGAGCAGGGGGTTGGAATGGACGATATCTAGAGGTCCCTTCCGACCTCAACCACTCTGTGATCCTGTGAAACAACAGAGGCCACAGAAGTCAGTACTCACAGGCAGTGACCCTGGCTCCGTGACAGCCGTCGTTCCCAGGTCCTGGTCACTGTTCCCAGGTCCCGGCTGCTGTTCCCAGGTCCCGGTAATGCGGTGCCACCACTGGCTCGTCACATGGTTGATTCAGGGCAGCGCTGGGCGCACAAGGAAGTCAGCCCCTGCTTGGAGGCTTTATGGCAAGGCCGATGCCAACTGAAAGCAAACACGTACAGCGAGCAGGTCGGGGCTCATTCTGCAGAAGGGTTTTACTTCCTCGTTTGCTGGTTGAGCTTTCATTTAAGTGTGCAGATTGATAAGCTTTCACTTCACCTTTCTAAGGGGGAAAAAAAATAAAAAAGAGCAAGAGGCCCCCACCTCTATTCCGAGGCACTGGCAGAAATCCACAGTGCTGGGCAGGCAGAAAATGTCACCTGCTTTTTGGGGCAGGTGAAAGGTTTCCAGCAAGGAGGTTTTACTGAATTATTTCGTACAAACATGCACCCCCTGCCCCCTCATGTCTGAGAAATTCTTGCCTGCAGGAAGAAAATAAATAAACATTTTGGCTAGCACCCAATATTGCAAAACACCTGCACCCAAGAAGACCTGCTCTCCAAGATCACGCTGAAGTATCTCACAAAAAATAACCAGGCTTATGGGTACCTCGTCATTAAGGGACGGCACTTGGGGAAACACGGTCCCCACGAGGTGCTTCCCAAGGGAAACACGAGCCGCTTTCCTGCTTGTTCATCAGCTCGCCGCACACGAGCGGACGCCCCGGATCCCGCCGGAGGCAGCAGGGAGGGAGGGCTCAGGGATCCTGCCGCGGGCAGCCCTTGGCGCTCGGAGATGCTGCCTGGGGCGCTGCCCTTTGCTCGGGGCTTCGGAGCGGGAAGCACTGCCCCAGCAGCACATCCGCTGCCCCGGGCTCGCTGTCCTGCCCGAGGAGCAGGACGTGCTCCTCTCGGTTAGCAACTTACGGGATGCAAACACCTCCCTGTGGACCTCCGGCAAGGAGCTCTGCTGCAAGAGAAAGAGAAATTTGCAGAGTTATTTATAACATATTATAACAAGGCAGAGCAAAGCATGAAACTGTTGGGGCCACTCGAACCTCGACTTCTCTGAGAAATGGCCTCCTCCGTTACAGAAATAAGAACAAACCAGAGCTTACTGAAAGAAATGAGAAGAAAACCAGGTACCGGAATTGCACACTCACGTGTGCAATTACTCATTTGTAATAAATTACTCAATTAAGCTATTGTCACGAGTCCAAGATTTCAACGTTACCCAAACAGCAGCCAACCTGGGAGACCTTTATCCTGTTCCTGAAAAAATCTGCTCAGTGCCTTGTTCTTTAGGCATTCATTAGCAAGAGACTATAGACCATGCAAAGTAAGGAATTGTGCTCAATTTTTTAAAACCCCAGATCTCTAACCCTTTTGCTCATCAGCACAGGCAATGAGAGACCAGAGATGCGGTTTCACAGACACATCTGTTTCTTGCTGTGTCCCCTCGCAGTTGCAAGCACACCGAGGTCTTCCGGGGCAAAGATTTACTGCTCCTTGGCGTTATCTTTCCATTCCTTTGGGAAATAGACAAAGTTGGAAAGGGGAATTCCCCTGCACTAAAGTAGGTTCCGCTACTGAGTTTAAATTTGGGAAGTTGCTGTGTTGTGAAACAGATAATTTTTCCTCAGAAACAGCTGTTACCAGCCGCAAGGCCCTGTCTGCGGCGGCTCCCGCACGCTGCCGGCGCCGCGCTCGCATAGCTCTGTGCGAGGCCACGGGCCTCCCTGCTGACCTTCGCCACGGGAAAACGCTCCTGCACAGAGCACCACGGCGGTTTTTGCTCCGCACCCCAGCGGGTTATTTGCTTTGCTAAAGGAAACCCTCGCTTACTGCATTGGCAGCAGTGGAAATCCTTGGGTCCCAAACTAGCCAGAGAGCCAGGATCAAGCAAGTGCTTGAGCAAACACTGTTCCTTTGCCAGGAGTATTTTAAAGAGATCCATGAACTGAGACACCCCACTACAGACGCGGGGCAGGTTGCATCCTCTTCTGCTTGCAGCAAGGCTCGGGTCAGACCTTCACGCCAGACGCCCGGTCTCTGGAGGAGGCTACCTCGCTGGAGCACAAAACGCTGCTATCACGCAGAGGGCACCCTCCCGACGCTAAATACCATTTACACACTAAGCAAAGCCAAGACATTTTCTGAAGGTGAAATTCCTTCCCTGATGGAGAGAGTGGAAGTTTTCACTTGTTGAGAGTGGGTCCTCAGCCCAACATCCACCCCAACCTCCCTGAGCCGTCAGACTCATGTGTCACTGGCTGACAGGCTACACTGCAGTCAGCTTGGGGAACAGCTCCCAAGGGGCTTTTTCACGTGCTTAATGAAAAGCCTTCCTTCCTTCCCCCAAGAGCAGTGAGCATCACATCTGGTGACAGAGCAGGGAAAAGCCAAATACCAGAAAAATCAGAAGCTAGAGAAGGTCTTCTCGGGCTTGGGGCAGTACAGCCTAGCCTTCACCTCAGAAAACTGCCCCAGTTAACTTCACTGCAGGCAACTTCACTGCAGGCAGTTGCAGCAGCAACTTCACTGCTGGCGGATGTTATTGCTCAGCCACTCCATCTTCTAAAGGTCCTGGAGAACAGGGGAGGTGCCAGAAGACTGGAAGAAAGCCAATGTCATGCCAATCTTCAAAAAATGGAAAGGAGGAGGACCCCGGCCACTACAGGCCCATCAGCCTCACCTCCATCCCTGGAAAAGTCATGAAGCAGCTCATCCTGGCTGTTGTCTGTGAGTATGGGGAGGACAAGAAGGTACTCAGAAGTAGTCGGCATGGATTCACCAAGGGGAAATCATACTTGACTAACCTGATAGCCTTCTATGATGGAATGACCA